CACACACACACACAGAGCACACACACACACACACACACACACACACACACACACACACACACACACACACACACACACACACACACACACACACACACACACACACACACACACACAGAGCACACACACACACACACACACATGGGCACATGGCCTTGGGTGGTAACTCTAATTTGGTTACTTGATCCTTCCTTTCCCAGACTAAATACAACTCACAGGAAGTTGTGTCATAGACAACTAGTGCCCAGTGAGTCCAAGGAAAACATGCACGCTCTGATTTTTTTTGTGTGTGTGTTGACCTAACATACACACAGGGAACCATGATAACTACTTCCTTAAAGGAACTATATGTAGGCTTACGGGTGATGTCATATAATTAGTCAGGTGTGTCTGATTACCCATCACTCCTTGGGGTGTCTGGATAGAAATGCAATACTTCAATGGTGAAATCCCAAAGCAGTCATAATTCATAAAGACAGGGAAATATTCAAGGATGTTTGGTTTGTTTATACTTATTTTCCAATATGTATATCAGCACATGTTACTGGACACAGGCTGAATTAGATGCAGGCCAGTGGCAAAGCATGTTGTATATATGTAAAGGCAGCAATACTTTGATTGTGCTTAAAATATAAATATGCGGATATGCAATAACTAAGTTGTTATTATTTTATTGTTGTTGTATTTGCTACTGTGCATGTGCCTGTATCACCTACGTTAGTCCCAGTGAAGGCATTCACATCCACTATAACCAGGCTAGAGTGGTGGATGGGTGTTTACCATCTCCAACTTTGTGGGAGGACAGAGATTGTCTAACATGATGCCCAAGATGGATTGAAAAACTGTCTGAAAAGGGCAGGTACTGAAAGCATTAGTATAATAGCATCTATTATTACATGCAGCATCCATGCTAACGTTAATAGAGGCCATTGTTGTTTTGTTGCCTCTATTGAACCCACCATTTACGTACGTGTTATTAGCCTTTACTCCAATCATTGGCCAAGGCCTAACCAAATGTTTAAGTTGCATAACCTTAACCATATCATAACCATCATGAATTTGCTATAAACACAATCCATCCCTAATCAGTACCATACTGTTGTTACAATACGAAGATAATGTATGAAGCAAGCATTTTATGAAATGTTGACATTATAGTTGATCTACGGATATAGTCACATTTGTTTGTCAGTTGGTTGGTATCATTAGGGTTTTAAATATGTATCTGACATTGGTTTATGAGTTTAGTAACCTTTAAATTATGTCGCTGACCTTGACCTTTAACCTTTATGCATGTATGTGTGCACCGCAGGAGGCACAAATAGATCCTTCTGTATCAGGTTAAATTGCACTGACAAATCCACACTGTGACTGCCTTTGAAAACATGTCAAGTAAATCGGTCTAATGGAAACAGAATCAGCAGCCTGGCTGCAATCTCGGCACAGAAATCCCCGCTCGTCCTTTTTCAACACTTGAGTTTCAGTAGGGCAATTGGATACATTATCATCTAGAAACAAAAGGCTGGTACTTTTGATGTGTAGGTTTTCTTTGGAAACTCCAACAGTTTAGCAGTGAATTAAATTTGTACTATTCTGAGGCCAGTCCACACTGCCAACAGTTAACAAGTATCTCTGTTCTAAAGCATTAAATCAACATGTTTTAGTTGTTTTAAGATGTACTTCCTGTAAAAGCAGTGCAGCTGTTTTTCCCGCCAGCCGGAACTCCTCTATCCACTCACTATTAATAACCTTCCTACATCAAATACATGATCTGTTGGCATGTGTCATAGAGGCAGATGAATGTGCTCTTTCAGCTCGGTAATCTAAGCAAAAGAAATGTCTTAACTTTAAATAAAAGGTTGGTGGATAAAAAATGAATTCAAGTTGAAACTCACCATGGTGTCTACATGTTTGAGAGGGTGGTCACTGCTTGGTGCCTGATCAGAAAAAAACAAAATAGAGAGAAACAGAAAGTTAGATCAATACCTGCAACACTGGGTACCTCAGAATGTGATATGTTTTAATGTTGTGTCCGGTCACATAATCTCCTGAAATGCTATGTCGCAGTTACGCTCAGCGCCATTCTTTGCCCTAATGTGGCCTGGTGGAGCAGAGTGGGGCTCCACCTTGAATGCGTGGGACCATCTATAATCCCTCTGTGCAAATATTTACACAAAGAGACAGGACTGCTTCCATTAGCCAAGACCAGAGAGTCCATCCGTGGAACTCTCTTTTTCAATGCCATATAGAGCTATGGACAGAGAGAGAGGACAGGGCCAACAGAGAGAGAGAAATTGGGGACAGAGAGAAAGGAAAGAGAGTCGAGAGATAACTAAAAGAGAGTGAGAAGTGGGTGGGTGGACACTCAGGGTCGGCTATAAAACAGAGGTTCATGGAAAAGAGCAGAAGAAGAAAACATCAGAGCAATCCGTGATGTCATGAGCTTGTGTGGGCTTGGCTTACCGCAGACTAGCACACATGCACAGATGTGACAAAATGAAGCATAACTAATTCAGTCTAAAACATGTAGCAGAACAAACAGGAAATGATTAGTGGCACTTTTTACTGTAGTATTGTACGTAAACTGAAACATTGACTTTAATTAAATGTATTATGTCAACAGATTTCACATAACTGTAGTAGATCAGTTGAAAGCAATATTATTAGGTTTAAATACAAAATATTAGGTTCAACTTAATAGTATTGCTTTCAACTAACCTAATTTATGTGACATTTGTTAACATAATACACTTGAAGTCAACATTTCAGTTGTGTCAGTGTAGTCTACAACTGTATTTAGCTTGCTTTTATTCTAGATTTAGGATCCCTGTCTCTGTGTGTCATCATTGTGTAGAGCAGAAATGCTGTATATCTTGGACTACTTTGTTGCACATATATTTGAGTAATGTCAAAAAGTGGCAAAAGGTAGTATTGAACCTCAATACTTTGTTCTTGTGTGACGAAAAACAGCCCTTAAACTGTAAAACGTCACGGTGAGATCCTTAGGTAAACTTATTTTTTGATGAAATATGTTCTTGTCCAAATTAGTAAAAAACCTAAACTGGAGACCACATGTTACTCTAGGAACATTTGGATAAAGGAAGCATTGAGCTCATGCAGGACACTAAAGTGAAATCCCCCAGCTGTTATCAGCTGACAGCCCACTGAGTGAATCATCATCTGTAATTAGTCACACTCCAATTACAGCTCAGTTTCACAGGTCCTAAGCCTTTTTACTGGAGATGTACATCTTTAAATAAATGGGTCAAAACCAAGAGGCAACTTCAAGGTTTGAAAAGTGAAGCCACTGTGAAAGTGCCTTGAACATGGATTTTTTTTTGTACAGCCTACAGGGGGCAACTGCAAAGGAAATTACTTCTCACTTGATTTTTCAGTAAATAATTTATTTTTTCAACCAAATAGTCTCAATGGCTAGTACAATAGGTAATATTGAATACAACATAATGTTCAGTGCGATAGAATAAAAGTCTATGAAAAAATTATCTTGCTGCCCTCTTGATTTATTACCCAAACGTAAACTAATGTGTTTGTGGTCTGAATAACTAGTTTCTGGTTTCTTCTTTTCTACAGCATGATATACATTTTCTAAATGTTGGTCCCATTTAAAGTAGAATAGACGACAAAGCAGGGTTTGCTTATGGAGCGGGGCTACCATGCGATCACCTGTTTTCGTCAACACTTTCAAATTTATATCCAGTATAATAAATTAAATGTAACATTTTAAATTGCCTGAAATGTCTTGTTCAGCATTTGGCTGTTCTCATCTCCATCTTCCCTTGTTCCAACAACCAAGATGGCGACTGAAAAACTGCCAAAATTGGGGCCTCAGAACGATACCCAACAAACCAATTGGTGACATCATAGTGGCTTCATCCATATGGAGTCTTTGGTCGCAACATTTGGTTTAAACATTTAAGGCATCAGGATGATGTGTGGGGGGGTTGACTAAAATAAAGCTTCATGGAATAATGTAAGAGCAACATTGTGATTAATTGATGTGTAAATAGATAGCAACAGAGGTCAATTGGACAGAGGGATAAAGGATATACAGTAAGTAGTTTTTGGTACAGAGAAAAAAAGAAATATAAAAATACCACGTATTCTTTGAAGTACAGAGCAGTAAAGAGTTATGCTGTTTAATGTTGTAAATCTGAATTTGGATCAAAGTGGTAGTGATCACTGGACGGTACCAACACAAAGAGCTTCACTATGACACCAATGATGCTGTGCTTCTGTAGAAACGTTCAGTGGAATATAAACAGTAAATGCAAAGGGTCAATTATAGTCTGCCTCTGCAGGGCCCAGAATACAGACTAAACGCCCAGAACAAACCACCAACCAAAGAGAAGGAGGGATGGAGGGAGGAAGGGAGAGAAACATTATAACCAGTGATTTACCAATTTACATTTAAAACACCCAAAGATTCAAAGTAATGCTGATTAATTAACACTAGAAGTCCTCAATTTCATATCACAAGTCTGCTCTCTCTACCAGTTAGCTGAGTTGTAGCACAACCGACAAATGGAAGACAGAGAGTTGTTTCTAGAAATGAAGGAAAAGGAAACCCTAGATTGATATTTTAGCCTCTAAATGCAGACTGTGGATTTGCTCGGAGGTCATCGTTTTCAGCCGCAGGCATTTTAACACAAATAGAGACTATTGTGTGTGAACAGAGAAAAACACACACAGACCCAAACAATTCTCACAATGATATATTCTAACATGTGCGTTTCCGTTTCGTGCAATTGCTGCCAGATGGCCGGAGAGTGTGTGTGTGTGTGTGTGTGTGTGTGTGTGTGTGTGTATTTTCACTGGAGCTTGCCACTCATTTAAAAAGCATTAGAAAGCCTGGGAAGCTGTGTATCAGCAAAATAGCTCTCAGTGGAAGTGTTTGCAGTTTTTCCAAGCCCTCTTCAACGAAACATTTGAAGAAAACTTGTAGCACAAAGGCCAGTAATGGTATCATATACTTTTTTTTATCAATGCAATTCTTGCACGCCATGCACATTAAATCTGTGTCTCCTCATTTTAAGGAAAGGAATGGGTCTTTACAACCAAAATGATAAGCATGTTCTTTGTCATAGTGACTCAAGATCAAGAGGTCAGTCCTCAGGGCCTGGAAGTATCTTAAACATGCATTCTTTTAAATTACCAAAAAGGGGCGAACAAGAAGTAGTCAAATTGTATGGAAGTCTATGAGGAACTATACTTTTCTATTGTTATATTACTTCAATAAGCATTAACTAATCAATATGTGGTCTCAATCACTAATTTGTATTCTTCTTAAATACAGCACTATGTTCTTTATCTAAATGATGGCCCAGATTACAGATCAATTGACGATAAAGCAGGGTTTATCATGTGGCAACCTTCCCATTAACGAGCCGCCACCACGGCACAACTGTCATGTCATTGTTAAGCTTTCGGTTTTACATAAATACACATTAAAGAAGAAGTGTTTAGCTGTTGATTTGTTTCCATTAAGAACAATCTTTAAGTATGTTTTTGTCAAGCCAAAATTAGCATCACAATTATCACAGTTAACATGAATTAGGAATGCACTTTGCCAACCAAGCTAGCTAGCTAGCTGCAGTACATGGCCACGCTTGGCCCAGCTCTACGCTTTCCTTCAAATATGGTCAGCATTGACAGCAGAAATGCAAAGTTAGAGGTTTTTAACAGCAGTCCACAAACCAAAGGGTTAAGGTTGCTACTCTCAATGTACTCTGCATGTTATGCAGTCTACTGTTCAGACTCCAAGCGAAAACTTGCTTCTGATCAATAGCTAAATGTCTTGTCAGTGCTTTGATAGGAAAAAGACAGCCAGTAAGTCAAACAAATAATTGTTATCTAAAAACAAAATGCCAGGGAGAAATAGCCTATACACAGTGCAAATAATATTTAAAAAAGCATGTTAGCCATTGGGATGCTAGCTACAGTAGCTCAGCAACTAGTCCTGCTAGTAGTCTTCACGCCACCACGTTTCTCGCACGACCACGCGAAGAAAAGCAAATTAATTGAATTGTTCCACAATACTTAGTGACGGAGCTGATAGCTGCATATCATGTCATGCAGTTTTTAATGACCATGCCACATTAGCATCAGTAGGAACATCAAGTTGATGTGACAGTTCCAATATGACCAGTCAAGACCATATTGTTTGTCTGCATAAAGACAGGGAAAATGCTCTAAATACTATAAAGTTATTTAAATAGAATCATCTGAAATTGTCCACGTAAGCATCCTTTAGTGGTAGTATTGAAAAAAGACAATGTGTTAATCCTAAAGAGACAGTCAAGTTTTTTGTACAGGATAATGCAGTCTTTTATCATAATGAGTAGAGGCTAAACATCTGAGAAGTTGCTCACACTGCACCTGGAAGTACTCTGGAAACAGAACCACATTCCAGACACAAAGAGCCAAATGTGTCACATTCTCCGAATCAAAAACACCCGTATTTTCCTCAAACCTAATTAGACAAGATTCAAGAGGAGAGACGAAGAAGAAAATCACTGTTGTGTAACCAAGAGCTCTGCAACACCTGGACAAAGAGTGAAACACACTACCCCACAATCCAGTGCACTAAACATGTCAGGGTACACATATTTCTCCAACAAAGGATATCGATTGGACAGTATCTCAGAAAAGGGGGAGAAAGAAAAACCTTATCCATTGCGGATACTCAGGTTTTCGAACTCTTTGGCCCATCTCCTGCTCAGAGCCATCCCATCACCTTGAGCCGAGTCAGCTGAGCATCATATTGCATTTGTTCTCATGAGAGCAGCTAAATACAGGCTGTTGATCTCCCATGTGGTACCAAATAGTAACAGACATAACAATAGACAACAATATCATATCATTTTTGCTTAAAAGGAAAACTAAATCAGTGTTTCCTGCTTCATGGGTGGCGGCTGAG